TCTGTTTCGGCTTTCACTAGGTTCTCGTTATACGGAATGGTAATGTCGACCAAAGATATACTTGACCGTGCCCGGTCCATCAGTACAATATCAGGCTTATTCGCAGGAATAGTCCTGTCTGTGATGATGGCCCTGTCCCAGTAGAGCCTGGCGCGGTCATTTTTTTATATAAGAGGGGGCAAACGAGCATGCGGCTCACCTGATGTTAAGTGACTACCGCCGCCTATGATCAACCGCAACACCAGGGGAATTGCAGGTGCGTTGCCGGCCCGGTCGTATCGGTCCGGAAAAATCACCGGTGGTAAACTATTCCATAGAGAGGTTGTACGCGAAAAAACTCCTTTTGAAAATTACTGTGGTGGACCGCAAATCCAGATGGTGTGGATGGTATCGGGACGTTTGCCGCGTAGTGCGTTCATGAAATTTGGCGGCTGGGATTAATCCGAACAATTCCTCAGAGCACTCTCCATGGTATATGCGAAATAAAATGCAAAGAGATGCAACATCTCTTCGCAGTGCCAGTGAATCGAGCCGATCGGAAAGCACTCAGTCAACGACGATTCGAGCCGCTCTGCGCTGGATGCGGTCAAGTGGAAGGACCCGGTACTGGGGAGCCCCAGCCCAGAGATGGGAACAGTATTCCATGTGCGGCCGAACCTACGCCTTGTAAAGTCGCAGACGGTGTGCCGGCATGAAATACTGTCCCGCCCTGCTGAGCACGCCAAGCTTTTTAGAGGCCAATTTGGCCTTCTCTTCCAAGTAACCACGAAACTGCACGTTACTCGTTAAGTCAACGCCGAGGATTCCAATACTGGCTGAGGCAACAAGGGCATGAAACTGAGGAGATACGACAAAGGGGTTCTTTTTAGCGGTTAACGCGCAAACTTCCGTCTTATTGGGGTTAAACTGGACTAGATTTAGTCGCCCCAATCCGAAACTCTGTTCAGCAAAGACTCGACTTCAGACACAAGTTTGTCCCGGCACTCGGAGACGTTTTCCCGAGAAATATTGGCTCGGCCGGTGTAAAGAGTATCACCAGTGCTGTCATCTGCATAGCAATGAATGTTACGGGTTTGCAACTTATCATTGATATGCAGAAGAAACAGCGTTGGTGATAGCACGCAGCCTTGTGGAAAACCAGCATTAATATGCTTGCAATCGGAGATTGCACCGTCTACAACGACCTTGATGCTCCAATCTGCAAGAAATCTGGTAATCCAATTGCACAATTTCTCGGGAAGCCCATAGGAAGGGATCTTCGAAAGAAGCGCTTTGTGCCAAACCCGATCGAAGGCCTTCGCAATGTCCAAACTAACGGCCAATGCCTCCCCCTTGGACTCTACTGCCTCCACCCATCTATGTGTTAGGTAGACCAGAAGATCACCAGCTGACCGACCACGGCGAAAACCGTATTGGAGTCACTTATCAGCTGGTGATCCTCAAGGTACCTCATGAGCTGGCAGTTTACAATAGACTCCATTGTTTTGGAGAAACAGGAGGTGATGGCGATAGGCCGGTAATTGAACGGGTCTGAACGGTCGCCTTTTTTAGGGATCGGGTGGACGAAAGCCGTATTCCATGATTTTGAGACTACGCCTAGGGAGTAGGAGTACCGGAAAAGACGCGATAAAACCGGTGCCAACTCTGGAGCACACGACCTCAGCACAATTGGGGTATTCCGTCAGGCCCACTCGACTTGTGGGTGTCCAGGGAGAGGATTGCTTTGCGAACCGAGCACTGTGTGAACTGCACTTCCGGCATGGAGCTCTCACACCGCAGGATGGTCGGCGGCGTTCTTTCCCCGTCATCGAGAGTCGAGTTGGACGCAAAGAAAGAGCCCTAGATGATCGGCTTTCTCCTTTGCGGTATGGGCCAGTGAGTCGTCCACCCTGTGCAGAGATCGAAGAGATGGCTGACAGAAATTCCCCTGGACAGCCTTGGCGGGAGACCAGAATGCACAGGTTCCAGAAGGAAGGCGAACTAGTTTCTCGCCAATTCTGCCTATGTGCTCTGACTTTGCCTTGGCAATGACTCCTTTGAAGAACCTAGAGGCGGAATTATACTTCTTTTTTATAGCGCTGGTGTTTACATCCCGGGACGCTGATGCGTCAGCCCAGGCTCGGTATCACTCCTGCTTATAGCATGATGCTATTTTACAGGAGCGACCAAACCATGACTGAGATTTGCCTCCAATTGCACCACAGAGGAAGGAATAAAAAGTTCCATAGCCTGAAGTACCACATCAGCGACAGAATCCGCAACAACGTTGGGATCGTCCGGCGAGAAGCAAAACCGGCCCCCAAGGGTAGGATGCAATGAAAGACCGCATCCCATCCCAATCGGCTGACCTATAGTGCCAAACACGGCGGCAGCCTGCAGAATGCAACTTCGATTTCAGCGTAAGTGGCACCACACTCCGGACAAGACAATGGTCCGAGGAGCCTAAAGGGGCTTCAACGGAAATCTGATATTCGTCCTGGTGAGAGGTCTGCAGAAGGTCCAACAGAGAAGGTGCATGATCCTCCACATCTGGAATCCGCGTAGGCGAAGTAACCAGTTGTGTCAGACCATATGGCAAGGCAAAGTCATGAACAGATCTCCCCCGCATGATCGGTTAAACGTGAGCCAAGCCATTCGGCGTGATGGGCGTTAAAATCGCCAAGGATCATGATCTCTGTGGAGGGGATCTGCTGTAGCAACGAATCTGTAGCCATTTGGACGTGGTCGAAGAGTCGGTCTGTTTCGGCATTACCGCCATGGGACCTATAGAGGCACCCGTAGACGCGCGGATGTTCATCGCTGTCTACGCGTAGCCAAAGGATGTACAGGTCCGAACCTTCAAGTCTGCCGTGGCGTCGAGAACAGATGTCCTCTCTGACGTAAACGCAAACTCCATCCCGAGGCACAAAGGAGTGTTCCAGTTTGTACCCCCGGGTAGGAGAGATACGAGACATCAGCCGGAGAGGACACCTGCGTCTCGGTCAGGAAGAGCAGAGCCGGCCTCGCCGTCTCGAGATGGTAGTGGAATTTTCGAGCACGGCTTCCGGCAAGTACTTGTAATACGGCAATTTCCGGTCCATGAGACCGTATTTCAGAGCGAGCTCCTGGTGTAGAATTCTGGCTACTAGGTTGTGCCTGTGCAAGTATTCAGAGTTAGAAAGCGCCGAACAACCGGAGATGACATTCCTAAGCGACTCGCCGAGATGGCTACAAGCTCGACAGGCGTCGACGGTGCCATCCTTTAGGATGTATCTCCGATAGTTGTTGGTCTTAATAACCTTATTCTGTATTGCACAGACAAAACCCTCGGTTTATCCAAAGAGGTCACCGAAACGTAGCCAGTTGAGGGAGGCGATTGTATCTACGAAGGTCTCATGTAGATCCCTGTAGTACATCCCTTGGAGCTCCTTCTCCTTCCATACGGTCTCCCGGTCGGAAATGCTAAGCACTCCTGGGTCCTGCCATTGCTCGTTGGCTAAGGATAGAGGGGTAAGCCCTTTATCACTAGAAATTACGTAATTATAGAATGGATCATCCGATCTTGCCAGGTAGTAATGACGGAGGCTGCACACTTCGCAATTACGCATGTTGAGCGCGCTCAGAAAACCACGCCCACCATTCTTTCGCGGCAAGTACAGCCTCATTACCGATGATCTCGGATGATGCATCCTAGGGACGTCACGGTACTGTGGACTTTTCTATCTAGGGCGTTAAGTTCGGTCTGAGTCCACCTGAGTATGCTAAAGGTATACATGAGGACAGGCATGATCCAGCCGTTATATGCGTGTATCTTATTCAAACCGGACAAAAGGCTATTAAGCACTTTGGTCAAGCGTGCATAAAACACGTCGCAAACTGACTGTTTCATACCAGCTTCATCGATACCGATGTTCTGTGACATACCCAGGTATCGGTATATTTCAGCCTCGGAAAGAGTCCTTAAGTTGACGGGCATAGAGAAGTCTATGCCCTCAGAGTTAGCAACCCTTCCCCTTTCAACATGGAAGACCGCACACTTCTCCGTCTCCAGCTCCATTCCAATGGAATTGCTAAATTCACAAGTGATGTTTAGCAATTCCATAAGATGGGAGCGAATGGAGGCGAATAACTTGAGGTCATCCATATAGAAAAGGTGGGTCACTTTTGTCCCTCCTTTCTGTAGCTAAAATCCCCTCTCGGAGCCCTCCAGTAAGGTACTAAGAGGGTTCAGAGAGAGGCAGAACCAGATTGGACTCAAAAAATCGCCCTGGAAGATACCCCTACTTATCCTTATGTGGTTCTCCGCAGCCATCATCCGCTCGCCCAGATGACAAATGATCGTACTCCACTGGCCCATACACTGCTCGAGGAAGTCTCTAACTGTACAGTCAATCTTGTACAGCTCGATGACTCTTTAGGCATGTATGGGGCACCGAGTTGAACGCTTTTCTGTTGACTATCCAGGCAGCAGAGAAGTTCCGACGGTTGCGTTTCACCACTTTGCCTATGACCGCGTCAATGAGGAGTGGTTCCTTGGTTCCACGACCACCGCCCCGACATCCATTTTGAGCGCGTGACATCACCTTGTTTAGCTCCAGATGACGAGTGATTTTCGCGCTCAAATGGATGTCAGTGTCTTATATATGATGGGTAGACACGTGATGGGGCGGTATTTGCTCGGGTCTGTGTCTCCTGTGTATCCTGATCTTTAAGAACCCAAGTGAGTGATCCCAGTAGTGAAGAGGCTCGGGAGCGACTTCTGGTCGAGAGCCTCTTGAAACTGCCGGGCGAGCACAGCGTGACACACTATGAACCCCTTCAGCCAGTAATGTTGCAGCCCGTCGAGCCCCGGACTTTTCCAGTTCGTGGCCCTACGGACCGCCTCAGCCATGTCTTCCGGCGATATGGTGATGGGGTCCATAGGCTTAACACTCGCACCCTGGCTCGCCACAACTTCCATCCAAGGGCCCTCGCTGTGGTTTACGGATTCTGACCACAGGCCACGCCAGAATGCAATAATGTCAACCTGATCCAGTCCTTGGCCCGCTCCCACATACCTTTGGTCGCTCCAATGATTTATAGAGCCTCTTCTGATCACTCTGGAAGACACGATTTTGGTTGAACCGCCTTGACCTCTCGGTAAATCGTCGAATCCGCTTCCCCCAAGCAGCGATCTTTTGCTTCAGGTCTTCTATGCGCTCCGTTAGTTTCTGCGTGATATCCGGCTGGGACAAACTGATATTTGTACCAGCAAACGCCATCCTAACGGTGCGCACAATCCTCGGTCTATTATTACCCGATCTAAAGCTTGTCAGTCTACCGATAAGGGCCCTTGCCTTTGCGATACGGTCCTCGATTCTTTTTTTCCAGGCTGGGATGGCGCTACTTTGTGTAGTAGCGTGTCCAGCCATGGGAATTTTGGCACCAATAAAACGGCAAACTGCCACTGCGGCGCCAAAAAGAATTGAGTCCGTCTCGCAAAGGTCCCGACTGGCTTCCAAATAGGTCACTAGCATTGGGTTAAGAGCCCTCACGACAGCCCGATTTCGCTTGCTTAGTGTTATGCGGGGGAAGTCGCGGTCGATTTTCGAGAGGGGTGCTGCGCGTTTCCCAAAATCGCCTCATCCAATATGCTCCTCATTTGCTCTAGTTCGTGGGAGATTATTTCATCGTCGTTCGCATCAACCACAACTGGAAGATCCATGGCGGCTTCCACGTGTGGATGCTGGTCTGTCGCATGTGGAGCTGCATCTCTAGCCATAGCCGATTCATTCGATGGTGGAATAGCTTCACGTCGTAGTCGTTCGAGTTCGGCATCATCAAATATTTTCGAGCGTATGATGTACCGAACTCGGTCTGCCAGATTTTGTTCCGTGACGGGAGTAGAAGGCTCCAGCTCAGCAAAAAAGCAATGCATCCGAGTCCTATACGCTATTCACACAGTTTCTTCCAATTTCACCCTATAGTAAGCCCGCAATGCGTTTTCGTTCATAGCTTTTGTCCAATTCATGCGACGTGCTCCACCAGTGGCGGGCGCCACTTGCTGAGTCCGAGAAGACCCAGCTGACACCAAGCATTCTGGTGAGGATGATGGATGCGAGGGGCTGCTAGGTGATCGTGCAGCTCCTCGCGCTTGGCTGGCGGCCTGCATGCTGCCGTGTCCAGCGGCAGCTCCAGACGCGCCCCCGACCCCCAGGCAGTGGCCCTATGCGCGTGCCATTCTGTGCCATCATCCATTTTATGGGCGCCAAATAACGGGAGACGCCCAAGCCCGGCACCGTTTCGTGGTTGGGTCATATGCACAAACGGACCTTTGCACCCACAATTTTGCCTAGGCAATTCGCTCAACCTCTTGGCAGGGCGCTGACTGACTGCGCCGACGTAGCAGTTTTGTCACATAACTGTTACGTCAGCGGTCGATGGAGTCGTCACTTCCTACGCTTTCTTAATATATTAAATTTTATTATGTTATTATTATTATTAAGCAAATGTATGTTTATATTTATAAATTTATTTGTATGTATATCTACATTATATATATATATATATATATATATATATATATATATATATATATATATATATATATATATATATATATATATATTTATGTTTATAATATGTATTGTGTATGACTACTCATAGATATTTTAACTCAGTTGCACTTTTCACCCACAATATCTTCTCTGCTTACCCTGGAGGTAGACTGGTAGAGAATGCCTTGTTGCACTAAGTCCGCCTTTTTGTACTTGGTGTGCAAATAAAACATAAGTAAATAAATATATTGTTTATAATTTTTTTAATAAATTGTAATTTTATTTCCTCTATAGATATCCTTCAAAATTTTCAATAAAGTTTTTATATTCAATCTTCTGATTACACATCATTACTACATACTGTATATTTAATTCACGCTCAAATACTAAAAAAGGGTCCCGTAGACCCACTTTGTGTTAATCTTAATTTTTTTTGAATATGATTTACATTTAATCTAGATGTTGAATATAAAAATATTCTATTCTATTCTTTATTAAATCCCAGCTTGAACCTCAGAGGTGACAACGTATCTGTATTTTGATTATTAATTGAGGATACATGTGGTTTATATGCGAGGTGCCTATATCTCGCAGTAGGCGAACGAGCACACAGCCGCCATCAGGTGCGATGTGTGCTCGTTTGAACTTAAATGTTATAAAAAGATTGGAAACCATTTACTAGTTTCAAAAGTGTGACTAGATTTTTTTAATTAAAAATTGTTACCCCCATACTGGGATTTTCTCCAGTATCGCGGAGGCAGTTCACAAACATAAATTACAAAAGGACGAACATCCAGACCCGGAACAAGTTTTTGTAGGCTATACAAATACTTGTTCCGTGCGGGATTCGACTCCGCTGCCCCCAGCTTAGCCACTCATTGTTAAGCCACTGCGCTACGGAGCCATCGAAGTAAATCCCAGAGAAAAGCCCTTTGACAGTTTCATAAGGCGATTTGGCACAACACAATTTCTGCAGACCATAGCGAAAACCATACCATACCATATACCATATGTGAAAACATTCTTCTGTAAGTGGAATAATATTTAACACCAATCATATTAATGCATTAGTATAAAAATAAAATTTATCAATTTACATAATAACATTCGAATAAGGTACAATACATAGAAAGGACTTGTTTTAAAAAAATAGAAGTGACAAATTAACAATTCGTCTTATGTTAAGTGACAACCGCAGCCTATGTCGCCTGCTTTCCGCTTTAAACACAATTGGCTGCAGATACGTTATCACTATTGTGGACTGGGAATGCCTCACAAATGAATAACAATGAACACAGAAGCGTCCAACATTATCATCATCATCATTTAGGCCCTCCACAAGTCCACAGCTGAACATAGGCCCCTTAACGTTAACTGCACAAGTTAGGAGTTAACCCAGCGCTTGCCACTGAGTGCAGGCGCGCACCAAACATGTTTCCCAGACGTTGAGAAAAGAAATATCAGATCAAAAACCATCACTGTTTCCTTTGTTGAAACGGACAGAACCGTGGTAGCTTAAGCGCTGGCTTTTTAATTTTACCGTACGTGAGCAACCTGAATTTGATCTTTACTAGCACCAACAAAATTATTTTTTGAAATTGTTACTATTACGATTTACTATTAGGATGATTTACCAGATGCTCGGTGGTGAACAAAAACATAACAATAACATACTTAATTATTTCGAAGACAGGATTTTCGTAATTACGTATCACGGTAACGCGACCCGAAGGCTTCTGACTATAAAACGTATGATATATTACTCTACTCTATATAATAGGTTTTTGAAGTGAAACATCTATTGGCGCGCTTTGGAAATAAAACCGACTTATATGCCGTGGCGGCAAACGTGATGACGCTCACTTAGGCCGTCGTGACCCTCCACGCCACCGCTCTCGACTCCCTCGTGTGCATGCGCGTATACTATACACTTCGTTACTATAGTGATGTGTGTGCTATTCTTGAACGTTCATTACTATAACTAGAAAATTAAGAAAAATAAATGGATTTTATTCTTCATGTTTCCTTTTTTATTGATTTGCTCCTTATTTCATTATTGGTTTTCATTAATTATAGATTCTACCATCAACTATAATGTTTCATATCTGTCGAGCGTCCCGTTGTGTCTTTTTAAATAAAACAGGAAAATAATGAATTCAATTAACTGATGAAACCGATGCTATCATTTCATTGTCTTTTGTCGACGAAATGGAGACAAACATCGCACTAAATCAAAAGAATGTTCAACGTTATCGTAGTAGTGTGCGACGAATAAACAAAGTTATGTAGCTAAGCGAACACTGAATGTATTTTATGAAATTAATATAATACCTTGTAGTAGTGTCGTAAGAGGCGACCATATGATAAGCCAAAAAAAGTATTATTGCTTCAGATAGATGGCGGTATAAACAAGGCTTAAATACCTAGACCCTTGCCAGACCGGTGATAAAGCCATGTTGCAGCTATATTATGGTGGCATAAATAGGTTGCCTTGGTCGGGAAGGACAAGCCTCTCACAGAATACCAGCGTAAAATGGCAGGTCAATGCCGCTGTGTTTCGTATGGTGAGTGTAGATATCCGGAAACCCTTTTCACTGGACTTTTCACCCTTTTCACTTTTTCAAGGGTTAGGAGGAAAGGGAAAGAAACCGGCGAACGATGCGGGCGATATCGAGGACTGCCTTCTGCATTTGAGCCCGGAGCGGTCCGTCACGGAGTCCCAGTCGCCTCAGGTGGCCCGAGAGGCTGACTGGGAGTAGCCTATTCGCAGAGACGACTACAGGAATAATTTCGGCCGGCAGACCACCCCACATGTCAGTCACCTCGTGAGCCAGGTCCAGATATTTTGTTTGCTTATCTGTTTCGGCTTTCACTAGGTTCTCGTTATACGGAATGGTAATGTCGACCAAAGATATACTTGACCGTGCCCGGTCCATCAGTACAGTATCAGGCTTATTCGCAGGAATAGTCCTGTCTGTGATGATGGCCCTGTCCCAGTAGAGCCTGGCGCGGTCATTTTTTTATATAAGAGGGGGCACACGAGCATGCGGCTCACCTGATGTTAAGTGACTACCGCCGCCCATGATCAACCGCAACACCAGGGGAATTGCAGGTGCGTTGCCGGCCCGGTCGTATCGGTCCGGAAAAATCACCGGTGGTAAACTATTCCACAGAGAGGTTGTACGCGAAAAAAACTCCTTTTGAAAATTACTGTGTTGGACCGCAAATCCAGATGGTGTGGATGGTATCGGGACGTTTGCCGCGTAGTGCGTTCATGAAATTTGGCGGCTGGGATTAATCCGAACAATTCCTCAGAGCACTCTCCATGGTATATGCGAAATAAAATGCAAAGAGATGCAACATCTCTTCGCAGTGCCAGTGAATCGAGCCGATCGGAAAGCACTCGGTCAACGACGATTCGAGCCGCTCTGCGCTGGATGCGGTCAAGTGGAAGGACCCGGTACTGGGGAGCCCCAGCCCAGAGATGGGAACAGTATTCCATGTGCGGCCGAACCTACGCCTTGTAAAGTCGCAGACGGTGTGCCGGCATGAAATACTGTCCCGCTCTGCTGAGCACGCCAAGCTTTTTAGAGGCCAATTTGGCCTTCTCTTCCAAGTGACCACGAAACTGCACGTTACTCGTTAAGTCAACGCCGAGGATTCCAATACTGGCTGAGGCAACAAGGGGTGCCATGAAACTGAGGAGATACGACAAAGGGGTTCTTTTTAGCGGTTAACTCGCAAACTTGCGTCTTCTAGGGGTTAAACTGGACTACATTTAGTCGCCCCAATCCGAAACTCTCTTCAGCAAAGACTCAAGTTCAGACACAAGTTTGTCCCGGCACTCGGAGACGTTTTCCCGAGAAATATTGGCTCGGCCGGTGTAAAGAGTATCACCAGTGCTGTCATCTGCATAGCAATGAATGTTACGGGTTTGCAACTTATCATTGATATGCAGAAGAAACAGCATTGGCGATAGC